ACCCTATTTTTGTGTATTGTGGTTTTTAATACTTTGTTGCCTTTATGTAACTTTTTATTTTAGGACTAAGTGTTCTTTCTGGCATTTGACTCCTTACCTGACTCCAAAGGAGAGCTGCACAAGAATTCCTATATGCCTAGACTGTCTGTTTATGCATACATGGCAAATAAAAATCTTGACGTGACTTGATCTACCACAAAGGAGAGCTTTTCTATTAGGAGGGGCCCAGTGGAGCTATTTAGTAGGCAGCAATGGAGGGTATTCCTTGTATTGCTTCTGTGAAGTGTGAATATGGTGCAGATGTATGTCTGATTTTGTCTACAAACAGAAGAACATACCACAGTAGCCTCCATGTGAAGATGAGCTGGTTGACTGCTCATCCAAACTCCTTAAGTCACTCTGTGGCATATGACTGAACTCTCTGGTGAGTACAACAATCTCTGTGGGTTGAGCAGGACCCACTGGGTTGCACCTGGGGAACGTGGGGGTGAAATCATGTTGGGAGCAGGGGGAGGAATTTCTGGAAAGTTGAAGGGAAACTTAAAAAATTAAAAATTAAAAAAATGACCTAACATCGTTGTAAAGATCAGAAGCATTCCAACTTTAGGGTTGGAAATAGTTGAACTATCATAACTTACAGAGAAATGGCGAGGTCTGGATCAACTGGGACATTTGATACTGAACATACAGAATCACTGTGACCTTTAAAGAAAATGTAAGCACATTAATGTAACATAAATTCAGTCCTAGGATAAATGAGCTTGGAACTAATGATGGTTACCTGTGTTTGCTTGTATTTTCATCATCCATTTCTTCATCATAAAGCATGAGGACGCATTGAGCAGATATTCAGATCCATCACGGAGCCTGAAGGTTAGAAAGCAGGAGGAAGGTTCAAACACACAGCTGTCTAAATCTGTATAAGATATATAACATCACCAGTCTAATTTAGTAGCTAATAAAGTCTTACAGTAGTCGAAAGCAGTTGGGTTTCTTGGTATAATCTGGTGCAAGTGAGCACTCAGCTCCCATGAGGTTCAGTGGCAGGCCACATGCAGAACTCTGCAGCACAGCACCAATTGATCATCACTGACTTCATACAATTCACTCCAGTTATTTATCATTTCTGTTCTCCTGAGCTCTGTTTGCTGTACTTTTTTCTGCTTACCTTCAGTGTATCTTTTCTGTTCTGGTAGAAGCACAAGGTATGTCTATGTAGGACGGCATGGTAGGAGCTCCAGCCTCTGCAGTCCGCCTGTGAAAATAGGTAGGAGCTCCCGCCTCTGGAGGCCGCCTGTGAAAATAAGATAAGAGTGTGTGCTGCTGACTCTGGGCTTTACTTTTTCTGAGCGTGCCAGCTGGGTTAAAGACTGAATGGAGCCTCACTTTCTTTCCTCCCAGCTGCAGCTTGTGCTTCCTCTCAAGTGTTCCTTCCATAGACAGCAGCTCAGACTTTTCACTCTGACAATGGTTTGAATTAACAACAAAATTCAGACAAAAATAAAATCGCATCTCTGTGCTTTATCACAAAACACATATTTTAATAACCACAGAGTGACACAGATTGCAGGACGTCTCACCAGGCTGACACAGCGCCCTCCGGTGGCCACCTGGTCTTCTTGCTTCTCCATGTCCTCCAGGCTTTGTGATGCTTTTCTTTGCGGACAGGGCCCATGCACATCCATATGAACTGACAGTAGACTCACTGACTGGTCCTGTTCATAAAGAGAACAGTCCACAGTCATCACCAAAGACAAAGATATTAGAAATAAAAGTAATAATATCATTCTGTTGTGTTTAATATCAACACTGCAACAGTAATTAAAGCAGACAACTCCAACTATATGTTTACAGCTAAGGTTTTGCAATATATATTCATTATCTACAAATGACTAATGGAATACTTACTAATATTAAGCTAATATTTATAACTACTGTATTAATTTAACATCAAGCAAATGAATAAGTAGATAGCATTTGTATTTTAATATTCTAATAAGGTGGGCCAAAATTGTTTTCCACCTCTGAGAACAATAAAGTTGTAATTTTCATGCTTGAAGCAGAAATCTGAAAGACCTATTATGAAAACCTGGGCAAATAAAAGTAAAATAATCTGCATGGCTATGTACCAGCACAGTATGTCCAACGCTGACCTCACCTTTGAACAACCTGTGTGCTCGTCTGCCTCCTTCCCCACCTTTGCCTCCTCCACCTCCTCTTCCTCCTCATCTTCTCTATATTGATAAATATATCTGCGATTGTCACCTATATCCGGCAGTTTCACTGAATCCGATGCTGTCTCATTCACTGCCACTAAAGTTTTGCTGGCCAGTTCCCTGTTAGGAAATGCTGCCCAGGACCTCCTGTCTCCTATAGCCAGTGGAGGGAAGCGGGCTTCTGGGCTCTGCTCCTTGTCATAACCCAGCAAGTTCTGAATGTAAGATGGCAGTCTGAACTCGGCCACAAGGAGGTTGGGTGCAGAGGCTGTGACCAAGTTCCTGTAGAGCACAGGTGGGGTCTTTGGTGAAGCTGAGCGAGATTCCAGGTCTCTGGATTGGTCTGAGGGTTCATGCTCCTCCTGGCTGGGCTGGTACATGATGTCTGAGGAGATGCTTTGCCTGTAGCTTGTCTGGTTCCAGATGTCCTCCAGTTCTTCTTCTTCCTCCTCAAACTGCTGGTGGTTGAGGTGGACAGGCTCTGTTTCTAGCACTTCTGAGTATGGAGATGGGCCTGAGGATGTTTTTCTGTTCTCTCTTGTGTTAGTACAGTCTATACCTCCCACTTCAAGGGACATGAGCCTCCCCACTACTCCCTTAGGCTGCAGAATATCTGGGCACGGTGCTTCAGTGCAAACCTTGATTCTGCTGGAAGTGGCGATCCCAGCATCGACTGAGTTATGACGAAGACTCGTTGTTGACTTCAGATTCACAACAATGTGAGAAGCTTGACTCAGACACTGAAGGCTCTCTTCACGCACACTCCGGGTTCTTGCACCTTTATGGTACTGGTGTCCGTTTAGGTCTCGAATGAGTGTATGAACACTGGGACACTCATGTTTATGTTTAGTGATACTTTGGCCTTGGTTCACATAAATAGGGAGTTGAGAAGAGTGGCTGGTCTCATCCCTTTCTGCTGTACTGGTTTTAACCTCTGATGGCATTTTGTCCCACTCCTGCTCTGCACTTTCATGCAAACTGGCCGGGGTTTTAGACATGTCATTATGAGTCTGAGCCTCACGCTCTGCAAGGGAAAATGGAAGTGGTGGCTGGAAACTCTTGTCCATATCAGGCAGATCTTTTGCTACAACTGTCAAAGTCTGTGTTTCAGAAAAGCAGGTATCTGTTGAACTGTGTGTGATGGCAGGAGGAGGTCGATTCTGTTTGAAAGAGCTCAGGGCTGTGTGTCTCTGGGAGTGAGGGTCTGTATCAGCCACTGCTCCTTTTTTGGATTCAGGGGGGGAGATAGTAATGATGTCCTGAATGCTGGGGATGAGGGTCATGTCCTTAGGTAGGTCAAAGCTCAGCACAGAGCCTAAAGATAGGAATCTGCAGTGGCTTCTCACCTGACTTGTGGAAGGAGAAGTGGTTGGCCCCTCTGATACAGCATATGGAGTAATAGTGTATTCTCCTGAACACTCTGTATCAATGGCCTTCAACAGGGAATTCTTCATATAGGCTGTAGCTTCTACTCGCTTCCCACTGGCTGGACTATCCAGTGAACTCTTCTTCCTCCTGCCTTCCTTCAGTGGCCATGTACGTGTGTCATATATAATTGTTTCACAGGCATAATGAGGCATCCCTTCTGGTTGCTCTTCAACTCCCAAGATTTTCTGGATAGTATGTCTGCGGGCATCTATCTTCCTCTTTCTCTTCTTGCCCATTGTCTTGAGGCTGCTAAAGATGGAGCTGCTGCCACTCCCTGTCAGGGATTGGAAGGTTAGGTTGGCTGTCTGAGGCATAGGCGTGGAGGAAGAAGGTGAGGAAGAAGAGGATGGCAAGAAAGCAGGGGAGTCTGAGGCTGCAGAGCGGCTCTTTTGGCGGGGTAGAGTGACACTCTCATACACAGGGGGCACAGCCAAGTTGTTATCCTTGACATGCAAGTAGGTACTTACCTATTAAAAAAGAAAGAAAACGATATTAGGTATGTATGTGAGATCTCATTTCCTTGATGTTGTAGATGTGCTATTGCAAATGGTTAACCCTAGAGAGACTCATGTGTACTGCAGGCCAGAGCCTTGCAGCCCTCTGCGAGAACAAAAGCAGTTTTATGTGTTACAGATGAATGATGACATGAGAGCAAAACTAAGACAATCAACTTCTTTTTAGAGACAAACATCTGCCTTTTTTTCCACTGCATCCCACACATCCAAGAAAACAATGGAGTCAGGAATGTCCAAGCCTCACACAGCAATGCAAATGTATAAAAAATGCAAAAGAAAAAAATCAGATGAAAGGACAACATGGATATGACTGCACTCATACTCACTCAGGACATAATCAAAACCACATGTGGTTGCACATGCCGTCATAACCAGCTGTAATGGCTTGACCTTTCAACTCTGTGACTAATCTCTTGTTTCTGTGGAAGCCCCAGACTATAAATCATTGTGTGCCGTTTTAGGCCCCTTCTTCAAAGTTCAGTACCGGTTCTCTGTCTAATGACCGGGCCTGTATTGGAACACTCCTGCTGGGAGCCATTTTGGAGCACAAGATTTAATAGGAAGTGAGGGTGAGATCACTTGTTTTACGCAATTGTGGCACAGCCATGGAGAGTCAGACAAGACCGGGTTTACATCAGGCTTGTGGTGACATGTCAGAAGGCAAAGAGAGTGTTTCTATCAACATTCACAGCAGCAGTGCTTCTTTTACTCATCACCCTCATTCTCTCTCTGTCATCAGACTGGCTTTAAATCCTGGCTCAATGAACAAGCTGAGGACCAAAGAAAGGTTTCAATGTCAGAGGAAAAGTCAGGCTGGTTTTTGGTTGAGGATTTAACCATTCATCGGAGTTTACACAAAACAAGATGAAAGATGAATTGCATTCACTGTAGGAAATCCAAAATATACACATTTGTTTTCAGTGCCTCAAGCTTTCGTAGATAATTCCTCATGTTAGTAAAGCTGAGATTTTTTAACAGTTTACAGGACTTCTTCAAATATTAATGTTGCATAATACACAGTCTACTTTTAAATGAAATGCCTTATAATCTAATTTGAAATCCAGTTTTTCATCTGACATGACTGTATACTTTATAGTAACTGTATAGTAACCAAACTGGTAACACTGCTAAAGACAATATATTTCTCTCTGAAAACAGGACAGATTTTTGTTCACTTGTTGCAGGTCAGATTCCCATCCCATTAAATATCACAACAGAATGTATCTCATTAAAATCTATTTTTTTTTGCTTTTGCATTTCTGACTGCAGGTAAGTAGGAAATGGGCTCTGACAGAAAAATGGTTTGTTGTCTTTTCTCACTTTTTCATGTTTCTCTTTAATATTTCTGAGACATCACAGGGGGAACTGGCTATACCTTGTAGCAGAGGTTAGTAGGGCATGCTGACCTCAGAAAACAACTGCACACATCATGCAGCCTTTGCACAGTTCGAGACATGGCATGCAATGCCAATTCACACCTCGCTATTTACCTCATTTGCGCTCTGCCGATAAATCTTTCTCTTTCGTTTTAAACTACCCAAAGTATTTTCCAAAAGCCCCTGGCAGCGCCTCCAAAAGTTTTTACAGGCAGAAGATTGAGGCACAGTGGGCTGAGGGAGAAAATGGGGGAAAAGGAAGATATGAAGGCCAAAGGAGAGGAAGGAATGAACAGCAGCAGATAGATCCCATGCAGTGTCATGAACAAAGAATGAATGTTACTGCTTTGTCCTTCAGGAACAGCAGCAAATATCAACAGTTTCAGTGCATTTAAGTAAAAAATGTATGTAGCCAGTAATAGTGTCATCTTATAATAGTGTTTGTTAACTTCTAGCGTGAAGTGATGTGCGTGCTTCTCACCCTGTGGACAGGCTCAGAGGTCTCCTCCACTACCTCATCCGTCTTAGCAGGCACGTCAAGCACCTGAACCTGGCTGCCACCTTTGTTACCAAAGCTAAGGATGAGGTTGACTGTGTCCCCTAGAGCAGGGCTGCTGGGCTCTTTGAGCACCACAATGGAGGGTGTAGGAGACTCTGATGAGGAAGCCTCACAGCTCCGTGGTCCGATACTGTTCATGACCTCATACCCATCCTCTAACTGCTTCTCCTCATGTTGCTCAGCCTGTCTAGATGGCAGAGACGAGGGCTGGCTGTCTCCTGCTTCCTTTAATCTGTCTGCATTGGTGGTGGTGACTGCAGACTGATGGGACTGGTTGGTGTCTATGTCAGGAGCTGAACTCTGTGTGGGGAGTCATGGAAAGAAAAGTTAATAAATGTTCACACTGGTAAATAAGCACTCAGTCTCTACCACTGTCATGTTGTCCCTACTCTTAATTGGTTGATTATTTAATTATTAGTTTTTGGTGGATATCCTGATATGTGTACACCTGGTATTTTTTCTGCTTCTGGCCCCATGGTACCAAAATATTTTGCATTACTTCTGTCTGTATGAGTTGTTATGGATGTTTTAAAATATCATTTTAAGGGGATTATATTTTAGCAAAGGTCCTTAAAATAGAAAATGAACATGATGGGTACAAGCGGTGCCTCTCTGCATGTTCACCTCTGTTAATGGGGAACACATGGTGACCTCAGAATAAATGTTATCTTGTGAAGGCTCCCGTCGGCTCTTCTTGTGAAGCCACTGTTGTTTTTGAGCCCTCCAGTGCACCAAGATCCACCCGAGCATACTCCTCAGTTCCTCCATGCGCTCTCTTACCTGCAAGACATTACTTGGGTTTTGTAAAAGCAGGGGAAAAAAATTTAATAGTATATTCTAGGAAGTGTGTAGCCCTGCTCACCATCTGTGTGAGGTGGTGTTCTTTGCCCAAAAGGTTCCTGCCTGTGGCCGCCAGCTCATCAAACTCCTCAAACTTTTGCTCAATCTGAGTGTCCAACTCTGCAGCCAGTGGTTTACGACCGTCTTTCCCGAGATACAAGGCGGCATCTGAAAAAATGCATGACCTGGTGTCTTCTGTCCATGAGCTATTCAGAGGAGCATGGTGGGGTGAGAGGTGGTGGAGGAGACAAGGAGAAGGGCTGTGAGAAAAGTTGTGCATTCGCAAAACATGAGATTGACCAGACTCTCTCTGATAGAACAGGACAGTCATCGCCTTGTCACACTTGGCCCAGAAAACTTGTGCACATTGTAAATTATACATTTCATCAGGGACCTGTTTCACAACTAGAACATCCTGTTTTTAGCATGGAAAAATATAGTAATAGGCAGATGTTCTTAGTGTAGAGGGGAAGGTAATACGAGGATTATCTTTAGGACCAGACAAGGGACAGAGTTTAGAAGAAGGGTTTAGAAGTTCACTCGGGCCTTCCTTCCTGGCTTAGAGCACACCTGAAGGACAACAACATCATCTGGCATTTTGTTTGATTCATTAGGCTTACTTTAAGTGTCTATAAAACTCATTCATCAAACATCATCATTATTTGAGGGCATGAAATCAAATATTTGTACTTTTAGACTGCTTATGAAATGTGAGAGACTAAAAGCTTGCAGTGATTCCTTAGTCATATCGGCCAAGGAATAAGGAATGCTGAGTACAACAGTGATTCCTTTTAAACATTTAACCTAAGTCTTTTTTGTACAATAATAACTTGCTCACTATGCTTTTATAATATGTAGATTCCTGTTACCTGTATGTCCCTGATGGAAAAGGGAACTGTGGTTTAGTTTTAACAAGGTAGTTACTATTTATTTTCTCTTGAAAATTTGTCTAATGTTTATAATGTTTGTGTATTTATTTTTATCTTTTTGTTTTATTCAGTTCCAAAGAGAAGAATTATGGACCCAATCCCAGCTGACATAAGGCAAGAGGCGGGGTCCAATCTGGACAGGTCGCCAGTCTATCACAGGACTGACAACCACACACACCCATGCTCACTCCTACGGGAAAGTTAGAGTCACTAATCAACCTAAGCTGCATGTCTTTGGACTGTGGGAAGAAACCAGAGTACCCTGAGAGAGCAAAGAAGTTCTAATGTTTTGTAAATAAATGGTTTGTTTTTGGCATATCAGTCTCTGGTTCCAGTTTGGTCTGGCCAGTGAGGATTGTATCAGTCTCATTAGAAAGAAGATTATGAACATCTGGCCCAGAAAGGGGTCACAACATCCCTGTGCCCCACTTACATCATAGCAAGGTAGCTTCTGAAGAACTCTTGGAGCTGCACAAACTCTTGTAGACGTGATTTGTTCTCCGTCACACTCCTTCCCAGCTCGGTCCAGGCCTGCAGCGTAGCCTGGATCTTTGCCCTGAGTACGTGCACCCTCTCTGGGCACAGCTCCTTCAATCGAGAAACCTGGTTCTCCATCTCCTTTACGTCCTCCCTGATGACTTCATAGTCAATCTGTGGAATATCACAGTAAAAATCTATCATCGATCAAATCCGGTATCACTCACACAGCCTGTACCAATTGTATCTCTGTATGACTATGACCTCATCGCCATAGCTTCATGCATATTATTCATCTCGAGACCCATATGGTCGACATATGGGCTGCCACGCTATAGCAAGCCTGCAGTCTTTTTTCTCCTTTTGACAAGGCAGTAATTAATAGTGTTGAGGGTTCTGTGGGAGTAATACTTCATAACGTTTCTCAGCTACAGCATGTCTCAAGAACACTGAGTTGTGGATGCCTCTCTACTGACGGCACAGTTATTTCAGTTTAGAAGATTAGGTCATTTCTGCTCTTCAGTGATATCAAGTCCAGACAGCTGTGTGTGCGTGTGATAAACATAACACTGCCCAAAAATGAGTCACACAGAGCTTTACCATCTCCAACCCTATGACCCCGAGATGTACATACACACCCCACCAGATATATTCACAAACACACACACACACTTTGAGAGCTAACAGAACAGTGACTCGCAAGCATAAATAATCATCCTGTGTGAATAATAAACTTTGCACGCTCTATCTGTGTATGTGTGTGTGATTGCACAGTCCAGTTTATATAATAAATTAAACACAGCACACAGTGGGGTGGGCTGACTTTTTTAGATGTGAAAAAATCTGGCACAACAGAAAAACACACAGTAGAACAATATGTTGGAGGTGAGAGTGAGAAAGTGACGGTCAGTGGAATGGAATACTGGATCGCATTAGCACCACTGAATCATTTAAAATGTTTATACCATGACCACAACATGTGCTGGCATCTTCCTCTCACCTCCAGGTGGTCCAGCTTCTCTTGCAGAGCCTCTAGGCCACAGCGGTCTGGCTCACACTGGATGGCCATGTCTGTCTCCTTCTCTAGAATATCCAGGCTGAGCTCTTTGCTACAGCACAAGCACTCCTCCACATGCACCGCCACCCCAGCATGCTGGTGAGGCACAAAGTCATCATGAGTGCTTGTAGGATGTCATTAAGTCATTACTATGTATTATTTGTGTTCCAGTGAGAGCCACATTGCAAATTAATGTTTCAAATAGTGCCATGAAGCCGCCCCTGGCATGTGTGTATGGGCTTAATTTGACATACAGTATGTAGTGCTTTTTTTTTATAACCAAGGATAAAGTGAATTAGCCAAAAACACTCATGTGAGCGGGAGTGGTGGCTCATTTGGGGCCTATTAAAGTACACAGCCACACACAAGGAAAAACCAGATGTGCCTCTATTGTTTTGTACAACAGTTTGTAACAAATGTTTATAGATTTAGAAACCTTCTAAGATCACTAGCAAAAATTGGTCTAATCTAATAAAATAATAGAACTAAAGCTCCAATGGACACGCACTATGTCGAGAGATTTCAGTATAAACTCTCTTCCATCTCCGTACCACACTGATCAGCTCCTGGATGGCCTGG